CCCGCCGCGCCCGGCCGAGCCGGCCGTCCCCCGGGACCCCGAGGCGCCCGAGCCGCCGCCCCCGCCGCCGCCAGGGGAGCCGCCGTCTGCGGACGCCGCGAGCCAGGGGAGGAGATGAGGGCCGCCGCCCGCCCGCCCCGTCTCACCTTTCTTTACCTCAGGAGCCAGGGGCAGACAGCAATACTTCGTCCAGTCCACGACCTGGACCTGGGCGCCGCGCCGGGGGGCCGCCGTCGGGGCGGGAGGAGCAGGGTTCCCCCCGCGGTGGCCGAGGCTCAGAAGGGCCCAGCTGTGGTCCTGCCCGTGCGTATACGTGTATACATATGCATATACATAGAGAGAGACAGACATATATATTTATTTATTTTTTCTACTGAGAGCTTATGACTTCCAGAAAGTGCTAAAGTTGAGCATAGCCGGTGGGGGCCCACTCCGGGGGCACTGGCGGCTGGAATTTCTGGTGTCTCCCTCCCGGGTTGAGAGTGTCTTGGGAGAGGGCTCTCAGGCCTCCAAGGGTCCTCCCCACCCCGTGGCTGGGGAGACAGGCCCAGAAGAAGAGGTGGAATTCAGGGTGCATTTTTTTTTCCTTTAAAGAAGAAACGCTGCTAAGATCCCGCCCCTCCACATGTTGGGGTGTCTGTCTTGTTCCTGACCGTCTAGTTGTTGTGACAGTCCTTCATAGATGCCCCAGAGCACACAAACTCTCTTAGTCAACCAGTTAGATGTTTTTCTTTAGAAAACCAGGGGTGAGTCCTGGTATTACTTTTAGGACAGGGATGGGGGTGGAAGGTGGCTCCACGACTGGGCAGGGTTGGGGCGTGGCACTCTGCTTTAGGTGAGGTTCCAGGGGCTTTTGCCCCCCAGGAGCTGAGAGCAGCAGAGCTGCAGGAAGAAGAGGGAAGGTGGAGGAATTAAGCAGATGAGACGTTTGGAGGTCAAGGGAACCCTCGTGGTCTGTGCTGGTCAGGCTGCCCCCCGGGGCTCCTGGGTTCTGACAATCAGTGGCCAGTTACTTATTGCCTTTTACCCCCACCCCGGGGTGGACCCTGAGCCACGGCCATTCCTGGAGGTTGTACACACACCCCCACTCCCTGTCCCCTGATCAACTCTGCTCCCTGCTCCCCCATCCTCCATGGAGTTCAGGGTAAAACAGATCTGACAGGACCCTAAGTAGGGGTGGGGGTGCCTGCCTGGGCCCTGGGATCAGCCCTGGGCCCTGCGCCTTCCCACACCTGCCTGGCACCAGGAGACCCACATCCCCACATCCTCTCTCCCTGCTGCCTGCCTCTGAGTCTCTGTTTTATTCCCCTCCCCAGCTTTCCCAAAGCGGCAATACTTCTCAAATGGGTTCCCAGACAGGTATTTATTTGAATAGTTTTGCGTTTATCAGATGGGTATTTATTTGAAAAGTTGTGCATTTATTTCTGTATTTATTAGGAAAAAACCCCAGTACATTGGACCCATGACGTCACAGACATAGTGCTCAGATCAAGGCTGGGTTTTGAGCAGTGAATGGACTTGAAGTCATTTTGAGTAAGAAGGCTGGGTCGTGGTGATGCAGTGATCTGCAGACACACAGTTGTGGGGTGGGAAAGGCCGAAAGCTGGGGACTCACCACGCTTCAGCAATAACCAGGCCCTTTGCCGGTGTGAGAGCCTCTCAAAGGCTTCAGCTGGCCCCGCCGAGGGGCCCTTGACCTTGTTCCCAAACCCTGACCTTAAAGAGCTTGGCTTTGGGCTGGGCTACAGGTTCAGGAGAAAGGTCTTCTTGACAGGCCCTGGGTCTTCTGGGTGGCAGAGGGACCCCTGGGGTCTGGGCATCGTGCAAGGGGAGGAGGTAATGTGGCCTCCAAAGCCTTTCCCCAAGAGCTGGTATGGGGAAGGGTTGTTCAGTCCACTTCACACCCAAGGAAGCCAAGGCCCACTCCAGGGGCTGAAGGGGCCACCCCAGGACCCTCAGAGCGTGGGCAGCAAAGAGGCTGGGGCGCCGTGGGTGGCCAGCTCCCGAGTACCTGGAGTGTGAAACAGGGACCCTGTGTTTCAAAGCAGGGGGATTCAGAAAGTCACAGCCGGGCTGCGGGCCTCTCTGCTGGCAGTGGGGGGAGTTGGGCCATCTTGGTGGTCAGTCCTGGACTTGCCCCTGAGCCTCTGGAGCCTCCCTGTCCTCACCTGAAAGTGCGATGGTGGACAGTCCTCTTTGAGGGGTCGCCGTGAGGACACACAGGCAGTACCCGGAAGCCCTGCACTCTCCCAGGCGGCAGCTTCTGGGGGACAGGTTGGCTGGGCCTGGCGTCATGTCCCCTCCTGCCCCCCAGGGGCCCGTTGGCTGTGGGGGGAGGCTGGGCTCTGGTCCTCAGCTGTTTGCTCCAGAGAGCCTTGCGCTGGCCGCCCTGGCCATGCTGATGGTTTCATCACGGGGGTGCTTGCTCGTCTGGGGAAGAAGAGGGCGCGGGTAGCCTGCCGGGCTCTGCCGCACCCTCCCTCCATGAGCCATGCTGGCCCCACCAGTTGAGGTAGAGGGGAGGCCGCACACACAGTAGCTGTGCCCGGCAGCATGTTCCTGGAGGGACGTATGTGCCAGGGGCTGGAAGATGGCCAGAGGGACCTGGGATGACCGTGTGGAGGGTGGGCTGGGGTTCAAGGGGATGTTATCTGACACCAGTCAGCAGCTTCCGTTTTCTGGGCTCAGACGTCACTGGGCAGCCCTGAGCCGTATGCACTGCTGCTCCACGCACAGACCAGGGAAGTGACTTTCCTGGTGTTACCGGGTTATCAAAGGCTGGGCAGGGAACACATCTTGGGTGTGTCTGACATAAAGCCATCCTTTTACCCGGATCTGTGTGACCTCAGAGCAAGCAGACAGGTGGGAAGAGTGATCCAGCTGTCACCTGAGTGATGGTGGGAGGTCTGGTCAGAGCAGGATGTGTCTCAGAGCTGAACACGGAAAATAGAAGCTTTGCCTGAGGGAGTCGTGAGAGATGGGCTGGTTCCTGGAGGGCCTTAAATGCAGAACCCAGGCACTTGGTCTTGTTTCTGGGAGTTACAGGTGATAGGGGACCAGGGAAGCTGTGGTTGGCTGGCCAGGACAAGCCCAAATGGCTAAGGGTTGGGTGATTAGTCCCTCTGCCCTCCCCGATCCTGCGGCCTGTCCATCACAAAAGCACAAACCTACCCTAACCGATGTGGCCTGGCCCTGAGGAGAGTGGGGACCCTGGTGCTGGACACCCCAAGCTGTGTGTTTGCAGATCTCTGCAGGATGGTGGCTGGCAGGCACCTCAACACCTGTACAAAGGGACCCAAGACCAGATGGGACATGGCCTGCCCCGGCCAAACCCTTTTCCTGTCTCCTGCCAGGCCTTCTCCTGCACCAGGCAGCCCCCTAAAAGTGGACCAAATGTGCACAGTATCAGCTTGTCTGCCTGTCTTCCTCCCCCCCACCCCAAATCTTCCCACTGGAGCTTTCTGTTTCCAGGGCCACCTCTGGCCCCCTTTGCTGCGCTGTGTAAGGGCTTGGGGTCTTAGAAACTGCTGTTTAGCCCAGATACAAATATACTTTTTGTCTTTGTGCAATAATCAGTGTTCCTGGCAGAGCCTGGGCTGAGCCAGGGTTTGAGGAGGAGACAGAGGCCGCCTCCTCCTGGAAGCCCTCCACCCAGCCCTGCTGCTGTGACCATCGCGCTCCCAGTCGCTGTAGAGCTTCTATGGCGTGAATAAACTTCCCTCCTAGTTGCTGATGGCGCTGGTACCCACTGGCCCAGATGGCTGGGGTAGAGAAACCAAGTGGCAGCCACCACCAGTGTTGTTTTGAATAAAACCCGAAGCCTATTTCAGAATTCTTCTGTGTGTCTGGGCTGTTCTTTCCCTAGTGGCGTGGGTGTTGAACTGGGGGGTTTCCTGGTGGGGGGTGGGTGGGCGTGGTGGTGGTGATGTGTGTATCATGCACAGGCTGTGGGGCCTGGGGTGTCTGGGACCTAGAGACACCCTGAAAGGGTCCTCTTCTGGCTGGGGTGTGGGTCGGGGGCTGCTGGGCTGGGGAGGAAGCAGAACCTGGCTCTGTAGTGAAGACGCTGGACCCGGGTGAGAGAGTAACAAGAGAGAAGTCATCTACTTAGCTGGTACTGTCACCTAAAGTCATACTGTGGGTATTTTCAGGACTCTTGGTTCAGTTCAGTTCAGTCGCTCAGTCGTGTCTGACTCTTAGCGACCCCATGGACTGCTGCATGCCAGGCCTCCCTGTCCATCACCAGCTCCTGGAGTTTACTCAAACTCATGTCCATCAAGTTGGTGATGCCATCCAACCATCTCATCCTCTGTCATCCCCTTCTCCTGCCTTCAATCTTTCCCAGCATCAGAGTCTTTTCCAATGAGTCAGTTCTTCGCATCAGGTAGCCAAAGTATTGGAGTTTCAGCTTCCGCCTCAGTCCTTCCAGTGAACACCCAGGACTGATCTCCTTTAGGATGGACTGGTTGGATCTCCTTGCAGTCCAAGGGACTCTCGGGAGTCTTCTCCAAGACCACAGTTCGCAAAGGACAAAAATCCAACTCAAATGAACTTGAAAGAAAAAGCTGGAAGAGAGGAAAGGAAGACAGGGAGAAAGAGAGAAATAAGATGAAGATAACTTAGTGGTTCAAGTAGCTAAAAAGTCCAGAGGTAGAGTCAGCTTCAGATGCAGTTGGATCAAGGCTCCAACTATGTTGCTAGGACAAAGTCTCTCTCCCTCTCGGCTCTGCTTCCTTCTGAGTTTGCCTCCCTCTTCTCCGAGTGGCCACCAGCAGCCCAGACTTGGGGCCTATCTATCTGCCCACCCCCAGATGAAGGAGGGCGTCTCTCCCTGACAGTCTGGCAGAGTTCATGGTTGACTGGGGTAAATGCCATGCTCTCATTGGCCAGGTCTGAACTCTGGGATCCAGGGATGGGGGTGACCCACCGGCATCATGGTTTGAGAGCAAGAAAGGGAGAAAATGTCAAGGAGAACCACTGTGTGCTTATTGGAAGGAAGGGCTGAAGGCTGGACATGCAGAGAAACCTGGGCTGCCTCTCCTCTGGCTAAGCTGTGTGCGGCTTCATCCCTTTGAAGGGTGCTCTCGTCACTGCCCCTCAGATCAGACCAGGGACCCAGAGAGGTCCAGAGACTGAGCACCCAGATGTCAACAAGCTGTAGGAGTGGAATAGCCAAGCCAGTGGCTGGAGCGCCGACCTGATCCCCACCAGCCTTACCTAGTCTACCTGCCCCCCTTGGTGTGTGCTCACTATACTTGAGGGCCAACTAGGGCCTTGGCCTGGACAGGAGAGGGACATGAGGACAACGCGGGTGACCTCCAGTGCTGTCCACTTCAGAGAACAGCAGAGAACAGGAAGACCTGGGGCCACCCCACAGACCAGCCTGTAACCCCGGCCCTAGGTGACCCCCCCGTTGGCTCACCCCTGCTTTCCCATCTGCTCTGAGACCCCTTCTGGTGGCCCCCACAGCTCTGGATTGGGGAGAGGGTGATATGGACAGAGACATCTTGCTGCCTTCTAGGTCTCTCTGCCTGGCGCCCACGTGGACGCTTCCAGCGGCAGGCTTTGTTGCTCAGAGCACTAGGTTTTCCCTGCTTGAGGAGGGGGAGACAGAGGGGGTCTCACCAGGAGCCTTATCGAGGCCTGGGCATCTGCCTCACCATAGATGAAGCAGTGGGGGCAGGGAGAGTGGCGATGGCTGGTGGGGGCTGCTGCACATGCATTGGTACGTTGGGCTGGCGGCAGGCCTGCCCCCACTCCTGACAGCCTGCCTCCACCTGGGGAGGGGTCTGACCCCCATTTTCAGATGAGAAAACTGAGGCAGGGCAGGCCTTCCAGAGAGCAGGCAGGGCTCTGAGTCCCAGTGTAGGTCCAGGCCCCAGCCTGAGCCTCACTCATCACCCGTGAGACTTGGT